AGGTAGGGTGAGATAGAAATATTAATGATGGGAGAGAATCATTGATCGGCTGCTTCCTGTATGTCACACATCAGGGACTAAGCCTGCAACTCAGGCATGTGCCCTGACCAGGAATCAAACCATGACCTCCTTGTTCATAAGGTCAATGCTCAACCACTGAGCCCTGCTGGCTGGGCAATTTTTTACACTACAGTTCAACATTCCTGGGTTACAGTAACCTCCATATATAACCTGCCTTATGACTTTCCATAGCAACCGATGGTGAGCACACTTGAGTCTGGAGGACTCTTTTCCAGTTCAGAGTCCACGCCACGGGGTTGCTGGAAGTTTTATTTTTCTGGGGTTGTCTGTCCTTCCTTCCCTCTTCCTGCACCCTAAGGTCCCAGCATCATCCTAGCTGTCTCTTTGCAATGGAGCCCATTCTGCTGTTCCACTTGCCCTGTAGTTCTCACATTGTTCCATCAAATCTCTTTTTAATATTGATTACCCTTCACAGCAAATATCAATACATTGGAGAAAATAAACCTTTCCCATGAGGTGTGAGATGGGAAATGGGCAGAAAAGCCCAGTTTGCTACATCCCTGAAAGCTGCCAGGTTACACAAACTGGGAAACTTAGATGTGTGTGAAAAAGAACCATCGTGTCCTGGATGCTGGGTTCTGACCAAGAGAAATTTCCCACATTTCAGTGTTTTGCTCCAAACCTCTCTTGCCACGTGTCCCACTAGCAAAGCGTCAGTACAGATAGCACCAGGCACAGCTCCAGGCGGCGGAACAGGCAGCTCAGCTTCAGCAGGGGTGTCAGCAGGACCAAGCAGCCAAGGTGAGGTGCTAGAACTCTCCAACACTTTTCCTCTTTGGGGCACTTTTCTCCACCAGCTTTCTGGTGCTGCACCCCAGCTCTCTGCATCTTTCCTGAATCTACTGTTCTGCCGATTAGATTTCACCAGATGGGAATACTTTTGGGGTAGAGATTTTTTAAAAATATATTTTATTCGTTTTTTACAGAGAGGAAGGGTGCCGCACCCCTCGGTAAATTACAATTTCGGGGCAGAGCCTGAAATCCGGCCTTATCTGAGTGCCCCAGCTGACGCAGTGCACACTAAAGGCTGAGCACAAACTCCTCCAGGTTTGCTGCCCGCCAGTGACAAAATGTGTTGGGCACTTGTGAAATACTTATCATGCAAGTCTGGACTCCAAGAATGTGTTTAAAGAAGTAACTCAGAGTAAAAAAGTTGTACCTCTCAACAAAGCTATCTTTCTGAACACCAAAAATAAAAAAATAAAAATGCATAAGATGAAGATAACTTATCTCATGGAGGTGTTATATAAGCTATAAATTCAACTGTACATTACATTTCACGATTTTTCTATTCAGCTAATTTTTAAAAATCGTTGCCTTTTTATTCTAGCTTGATCAGATTCCTTCCATCCATAACTCTGACCTTCATCTCAGTTTAGTTTCTTTATTTTTTTCTCCCCCCCCCTCCCCCACTCCTCCTGCCCATCCCCGCTAGCGCCTGCCTTCCTAAGGACCAGAGAAGTGATGGTATAGTAAACACCTACGATGTTCTCAACATTATTCAGGATTTTCTCAGTTCTTCTGGAAGAGACAGTACTTGCCCATTTTATGGGGAGGACACTGGCCTTTAGAGCTGGTGAGTCAGTTGCCCTTGTTCTATACCTATTATCCCTTCCCCGCCCCCTTTTTTTTAAGCTCTCATAAGGAACACAGCACTTTTATTGCCTGGATTGAACTCTCACAGTTGTTGAGGTGCCAAATGTGCCCAGACATTCCGATGTACTCAAGGCAAGTTGTCCTCCCTTTGCCCACAGGGATGAGTGTCCCCATTGACTAGGTTGGGAGCACTGTGCTTCCGAACCTCCCTCAGAATCACCTTTGTCCTTACACCTGTCCAGGTGCAGGTTCCTAGTAAAAGCAAACATCCCTCCAGGACCATCCCGCCTCTCCATCACACAGCCAAAAACAAAGTGGCAGCAGGTATTAGAATGGGGTCAAACAGAATAAGACTTGTATCAAGTGTGATTCTAATAACATTAATCCAGAAAAAAATATTTATCTCAAAACAGTATAATCTCCAAGGGTTTAGCCAAACCTTAAAATCATGCAATCAGTAGGAAATGTTTTATTCTTCTATTATGCCAAAATGTAATTATCTTCATCTCACATTTTCTTTTGGTGAGAGCCTATATGGACATGAGAGAAGCCAATTTTATAGGCGCAAATACTTCCATGCCCGGGGGAACTATGACTGAGTCATTGAGGTCTACATCCCCAGATGTGGACTATAGAGGGCACACATATCTCTAATAAATGCTCAAGAGTTTGAATGTTGGAAACTTTGTGTTATTCTTTAGTAGAAGGACTGCGCATTTGGTACCAAGGGGTGATGGACGAACACCCACATGAAGGCAGAGCCTGTGCCTGTGTGTTTGGGGGACACAATCTCAGTGTCATACAGGGCAGAGGCCCTGTATCAAGCCTTTCCCTAATCAGAGTAGCTCAGTCCAAAACCCTCTATTTTGTCAACTTTGGCTAGTGGCACCCAGCAAACGATTACTGCCATCTAGTGTGCACACACTGTGTTTGTTATCCCTTAGAAGTCAATCTCCAGTTACTAGTTAGTGAATCTTTACATTAACCCTCCTTCCTCAGGTTCCTGGCTGCTTTCTCTCTCCTGACTGAAAAAGGGGTCTCCAAACGCCAGGCCTTCCACAAGGGCTCCCCAGCAACACAGACTAGGTGTTGATACCTTCCACCATTTCTCTCCCGGGTCATGCTGAGGCCGCTGCAGTTATTCTGTTGCTCTTCCCAGGCAGGCATCCCTGTGTCTTGTCCCTTGCTCTGCCTCCATGCCTAGTCCCTCAGTGGCTCCCCTCCAGTTGTCTCCGGGAGCCTAATTCCAGGAGTCCGGCAAGGGGTATCTTGACCTCTGCAGTGGCTCCCATATTAATTTATTGCATCGTCACTCCCACTGTCTTTGAATTCAGATTCACATAGCAATTCTGCTCCTGGAAGAGCCTTCCCGGTAGCCCATGCACCACCTCCTGGGGCACTTTCTGATTCCAGCAGCCCCTCACTCACACCTGCTAAGTCATCCTCACCCTATCCCCTCAGAGGTAGCTGTTCATGGCTAGCCAAGTGAACTCCTTAAGTGTGGGCCAGCCTTGCTTCATTTGCTGTAGGGACAGATTAGGGAGCAACACAGGGCAAGAGCAAGGCCAACATGAGGATGTATTACAGAGTCAGCTACGAGTAATGCTTTTTTTGCTAAGTGGTTAGACCACTGGCCCTCAGACGAAAGGGTCTCGGGTTCCATTCCCAGTCAAAGGCACATACCTCGAATGCAGGTTCAATCCTTGCCCTGGTCAAGGTGAGAGCAGGAGGCAAACCAATTGATGTGTCTCTCTCAGGTCAGTGTTTCTCTCTCCCCCATACCCTTCGCTTTTACCCTTCCACTCTCTTTAAAAATATATGTATCCTCACTCTTCTGGTGAGGATTGAAAAAAAAAAAAGAAAAGAAAAGCCGCATCAGCTCCAAGACTGCGGACAAATATTCATCTTCTACACCCTGCCCTGCTGGCTGGTGGTTTTGACCATTATGTCCCAGGACTCGGTCCTTTTTTCTAACTAGCACAGGGCTCAGCAAGCCCTTTCTTTCACAAACGCTCTTGGCTACAAATGTTTTTATTTAACATCCCTTAGCCAACAGAATCTGATACTATCTCCATGTTGATAGTATAAGAATTGATTTGAACTGACGGACACCCAAGCTGGTGGAGAACTTAGTATGGGGAAATACCACACAGACACACACCCCACCACCATTACCGCCCCACACCCTTACTGCACCACACACTGTTGACCAGAATCGAAAGGTTTCTCAAAATTCTATCGTAAGAAGCTTTGTGAACTTTTTCTCTGACAATCTCTTTAACCGATCAGGTTACATCATACCTAAATGTCATGTAAAAGTATGACAGTAATTTTGTCTGTAGATCTCTGGCTGTGTTATAAATGAAGAAAAAAAAAGTGAATTGTTCGAGTACCCAACACTTTGCTTACTCCACACTGAATCTAACCCATACCTTCCTGCAAATTGTTCACAATAAACTTCATGTCTATTATATATTCTATTCAAATGGAGACTTTAATCAGATTTTACATTTATTATTAATATAACATGCTATATCTATAGAAGCCCGACAAATCACAATCTAGTACTTGGCTTAAATAATACAAGCACTTGCTTCAGTATTCATTAGTTCTCAGTCTTTCTTTATTGTGACTTTAAAAAAATAATTTTTAAAAGTGCATGATTTCTTTGAACTACTCTGTTTAGGAAAAATTCAAGTTAAAACATTATCAGTAATGAATTAGTCCATTGTATAAAATGTCAAATTCAGATTATAAAATGTTAAGTGCTAAAAAAAAATGTATTTTAAATTAGTTCAAATTAAATATGGGGCCATTTCACTTAAATATCTAATTTCAGTGTTCAGTGTTTCACTTCTTTTTTGTATTAATTCCATTACACCAGGCCATATTTCAGTAATTTCTCAACTGCCCTAGACAAGAATAAAAAAGAATTCAACTCCTGTCAATTATATGATCTGTCTTCGTGTGATCAGAATGAGAAACTTTTGCTCCCCCAATCCACAAGCAAGAAATAAATAACACTGTTGTTCAGAATACTAGTAAGGACTGCATAGCTGTGAGCATTCACATTCTGATTACAGAATTCTTCATATAAGCAAACAAGGACCTATTCCTTTCAAGATTCAACTTTAGTTGAGAATCACTGAGGTCACAGATTAGCCATAAATACAGAGGTTACAGACACTGGCCAAAGGACTCCCAATAAGGCAGCAGGGTTTTCAAGTGGTGCCTTTCCTTCAATAACAAACGCATTCGGAAGATTCAGGAGCATGATTCCATTTTCCTTAAAATGTTATGACATCCTGTTGAATCTTCTTCCACTAGGCCTGCTGAGACCAGAGAAACCGATCACATTTTTCAAGCATGCTTTGTATCAAGGCTCTGAAATCACAAAGAAAAGAAACAAGTAAATTTAGTTCTCATTGTTCATTCTTTACAAAGAAACTTTAAAAACCACAAATAAAGATTCAAAGCTTTCTGACTCTATGCATCGAGAGAGATAATCAACATATAGAAAAGGCATCCTGTCCTACAGATCAGGAGAATACATTTGCAAATCATGTCTCTATAGAGATTAATATAGAAAATGTATACAAACTCATACAACAAAAAAACAAATAGAGCAACTGAAAATGGGTAAAAACACTTAAATAGGTACTTCTTCAAGATGACATACAAATGGCAACATATTAAAAAAATGCCGAACATCACTAATTATTAGAGAAATGCAAATAAGAATTACAATAAGATACAACCATAAGAAAACTATTATTAAACACACACACACACACACACACACACCTACATACATACATATACATTCACACACAGAAAATAACTAGTATTGAAAAGAATGTAGAGAAATTGGAACCTTTATGCATTGTGGACAAGAATGTAAAATGGTGACCCTCTATGAAAAAAAGTTATAACAGTTCCTCAAAAAATTAAAAATTAAATTACCATATGATCCAGCAATTTCACTTCTAGGCATACTCCAAAAAATTGAAAGGAAAATCTCAGAGACATTTTATGCAAACATGTTTATAGCAGCATTACTCACTCAGACAAGAGGTAGAAGCAACCCAAGGGTCCATTAACAAATGAATTAAATGAATGTATAAACAAAAAGTGGTTTACATATACTATAGAATATTATTTAGCCTTAAAAAAGGAAGGGAATTCTGACACTTGCTACAATATGGAAGAACCTTGCGAACATTACAGTAAGTGAAATAAGCCAGTTACAAAAAGACAAATACTGGATAATTCCATTTAAATGAGGTATTTAAAATAGTCACAATTAGAGAGACAGAAAGTAGAATGGCAGTTGCCAGGGGCTGGTTGGAGGGGAAAATGAGAAGTTATTGTTTAATGGGTAGAGAGTTTTACAAGATGAAAAAGTTCTGGATTTGAGCTGCACAATGATATGGATACATATAACACTACTGAACCAAACACTAAAAAATGGTTAAGATGGTTACTTTTATGTTATCTGTACTTGATCACATCTAAAAAGACAAACAAAAACAAAAACCTAAGACAAGTAGGCATTTGATACCAATAATATTCTTAAAGAACTGAGTACCCAACAGATTTTTATATTCATTCACATTAATCCAAACTGTCTTGGTCATGATTGTGAACAAACTATTACATTAGCCTCTTCCTTTAATCATCTTAATCAACAGATGAGTCTCAGTCCTCTCATCTGTTGTTAGGGTTTGGGACTAGATGTTCTCTCTAGTCCCATACCCCTCTAAAAATCTGGGGTTTCCACATTCCCCAAGCTCCTATGGAGAGGGTATTGCAGACAGGTATTACCTCTGTCTTTTCTCAGCAATCCTTAGGATATCGCAGGTTCTGGTAAACCTCTCTGACAGCTCAAGTGTCAAACCACATTCCTGTAGCAGTGACCAGGCCCGATCTGGACCCATGGCCTTAGCTAACAACAGTGCTACATTCTCCAGGTTAACAGGGGAAGGCCCATCACTGAAGCTCCCATTTGGTGAATTCTGGGGGGCTGGCGTTGTGTTTTTGTTCTGAACAAGATGTAGGAGAAGTTTCCACTCCTCCATGGTTTCTGGGATCCAACCTATACAAACACACAAAAACATAGAAATAGTGGCTCTGACTGCTCTTTGTATTCTGCCTGCACATAGGAGACAGTCAAAACAGTTTATGAAAACATTTAGTTGCAAAACATACAAATATTAGAGAACAAATCTCATTACCTTAACACAAAGGTGTTTTCTGAACATCTGCTGAATAAATAGTTAATAAAAGGGAAAAGCCACAAATTAACTTCATTGTTCTTTCATTGTCTCATTAATTACGCAGGGCATATTCTATGCTGGGCACTGAATGTGCAATGAAGAACCCTTCTGGGACTTATAGCAAAGGAGACAGATCTTAGATAAACATATAAATACACTATCCTTATATACTTTAAATTAGAGGCCCAGTACACGTAATTTGTGCACGGGGGTGGGGGGTGTCTCTCAGCCTGGCCTGCACCTTCTCTCAATCCGGGACCACTAGCTCCTAACCACTTGCCTGCCTACTTGATCACCCCTAACCACTCACCTCCTGCCTAATTGCCCCTAACCACTTTGTCTGCCTGCCTGATCGCCCCTAACTGCCTCTGCCCCCCCCCTCCCCCTGCCCCCCGCAGCAGCTTCATCCAGAAAGACGTCTGGAATGACATCCAGAAGGTCGTTTGGCTGTCTGGTCTAATTAGTATATTATGTTTTTATTATTATAGGTAAGTGCTATAAGAGAAAAGATCAAGGAACCATTAGAGAGAATTGTAGGTTTTTCTGGAGAATCTGAGAGGGGCTTTATGGGGAAGTGACATTTAAGCAGAGAGCTGAACGGTGAGACAAGTTTAGGCATATAGCATGTGCTTGTTACCCAAATATGCACAGACTTGAGGTGGAAAGTGGCAGGAATGGAGAGTAAAGAAGCCTGTATTTCTGACAAAGGAAACATTGAGGATGTCCTGACACAGAGAAGAACTTGAATTCAATGAACTTCAAAAAAGGCCTATAGCACACAAAAGGCAATAGTGAGTAGTGAGAACGAGATGATAGAGCCTGGCCTTAAGAGTCTAGCTTAGCCCTACCCAGTTTGACTCAGTGGATAGAGCATCAGCCTATGGACTGAAGGGTCCCAGGTTCGATTCCTGGTCAAGGGCACATGCCCAGGTTGCAAGCTCAATCCTCAGTAGGGGGCATGCAGGAGGCAGCCAATTAATGATTCTCTCTCATCATTGATGTTTCTATCTCTCTCTCCCTCTCCCTTCCTCTCTGAAATCAATAGATAGATAGATAGATAGATAGATAGATAGATAGATAGATAGATATTTTTTTTTTAAGAGTCTAGCTTAAGAATGTGGATTTTGCCCTGCTGGTGTGGCTCAGTGGTTGGACATCGACCCATGAACCAAGAGGTAACTGGTTAGATTCCTGGTCAGGGCACATGCCCAGGTTGCTAGCTCAATCCCCGGTGTGGAGTGTACAGAGACAGCCCATTAGTGTTTCTCTCTCATCGAAGTTTCTCTCTCTAGCCTTCTCCCTTCCTCTATCTCTAACAAAAATAAACAAAAGCATTTTTTAAATAAATATTTTTTTTAAAAAAGAATGTGAATTTTATTTTTAGTTCAATGTAAGGGGTTTCAAGGAGGGTGCCCATAATCCAATTTTGGTTTAAAGGAATCATTCTGTGTGCCTAAGTAAAATGGATTAAGAATGGAAACCAGATAACCAATAATGAGGTTACTGCAGTAGTCTAAGCAAGTAGCTACCAGTAGGACCAGAGTGATGCTAGTGAACCAAAAGAAAATAGAGACAGAATTTGGCAGAAGAATCAACACAACTTGGAGTGATTAACATGACTTAGGAGGAGAGAAAAGTAACAAGAAAAGACCCCATTTAGTACAGCAGGGGCAAAAATAGGTACTATTATTATATTAACAAAATATTAAGAGTACTTCTATCTGAATGGGAAAGACATTTTCTTTATGCTTCCTAAATTCGGGGTTTTTTAATATAATAAACATCATGTAACTTTAAAAATATAAGCCATTTATATTTTAACTCTCCTGGTTACTGTTCAGAAATGTATAATGTCTATAGTTCTAGTCCTTCAGAACCACCTCGCCGCTGTTGTCACTTCTGAAACAAAGATGATCTCAATGCTTTTTGCTATAGCTGTGACATCTGAAGCTAACCCTTGCCAGTCAACTGGCTTCTTTGTTCTGGTCTCACATTCCCTTTCCTACACCAACAGGACTGCAAAAGACTGCAGATCACTCTGAAGGACCCTGATGTCTTGCTGTTGGCATGTCTGCACTTAGAATGAATAAGGCAACACCATAAAACAGACCAAGTCTGAGTGCAGCATGGACCCTCCGACTTCAGATATTGTGTGTCGAAGTCCTGGCCTTCTGACTGCCACTTTATCTGTTTTGGATAAAAATTAAATTTCTTTAAAGAGTATCTAAATACTTGTGAAAGCTTAGGGAAATCTGACTGCTACTCCACTTCAAGTTCATCTTAATGAACTCTTAATAATCTTTTGTTTGGCTATGTAAAAAAATCAACACAGCCGAAACCGGTTTGGCTCAGTGGATGGAGTGTCAGCCTGTGGACTGAAAGGTCCTGGATTCGATTCCGGTCAAGGGCATGTATGTTGGTTGTGGGCACATCCCCAGTAGGAGGTGTGCAGGAGGCAGCTGATCGATGTTTCTATCTCATCAATGTTTCTGTCTCTCTATCCCTCTCTCTTCCTCTCTGTAAAAAATCAATAATATATATATATTTTTAAAATCAACACAATGCAGAGAAATGAGAGATTGTAAAACAGGGGTCTGAACATCAGCTCCACCAGTCGTATGATTCTGGGAAACTTAACTGTCCTTTCTCTGTACTTTAATCATAACTTCTGTAGAATAAAAATAATAGTAACTACCATGGGTTTGTTATTTCATTTAAACAATAATTGGAAAAGCACCTAATACAGTGCCTAACACACAGCAGGCATTCTTTAAATAGAAAAGTTATCTGTAGTTTATTCCAAATTATGATTTTACAATTACCAAGTATACAGAAATTTTAAAAAACTACAAATTTGACGGCTAGCTAGAATTATATACATGATCACCAAAATGTCCACCATATTTCTTTATTGAAGATCTAAAGTGACTTCTACAATACTACAACCAAGAGTAACCAAATGGAATTTACATACCACTGTCCCCATCCATCAGGCTCACATCATTCAAATATACTATGTTGGTGAAGGCCTCTCTTCTTCTCTCCAGCTCCAAACAGAGAGTAAGATATCCAGGCCAGAAACTTTAAAGAAACCGAAGTTGAAGAAAGGAATAAAAGGTAGTGAATTTATCTGGACCTGCATAGTCCATTACAAAAGATACTAGGAATATGTGGTTATTTAAATTTAAATTAAGTAGCCCTAACCAGTTTGTCTCAGTGGATGGAGTGTTGGCCTGTGGACTGAAAGGTCTCAGGTTCAATTCCGGTCAAAGGCATGTACCTTGGTTGCGGGCACATCCCCAGTTGGAGGTGTGCAGGAGGCAGCTGATTGATGTTTCTCTCTCATCCATGTTTCTAACTCGCTCTCTCCTTTCCTCTCTGTAAAAAAAAAAAAAAAATCAATAAAAAGTAAATGTTTAAATTTAAATTAAGTAAAAGTAAATAAAATTTAAAAGTCAGTTCTTCAGCTGACCAATCCATATTTCAAATACTCAATGGTCACATGTGGCTAATGGCTATCATATTGGGCAGTGCAGAATATTTCCATTATCACAAAGTCTATCAGACAGTCCTATCTGAAGTGTATAAGAAAAAAGAATAAAAGTTAGTGGTAAATACTGACATTCAAGGCCAAGCACCAATTATTTTATATATATATATATATATATATATATATATATATACACACACACACACACTTATGTACTTTATAAATGTAAAGATTCAAAACAAATTAGCATATTTTTTCTAAATGTGAAAGTTCTCCTTGACTCTTCTCCCCCTTCATTTGCTATATCCAGTATTATAAATCCCACTGCATTTTCCTTCTAAATGTCCCTTGGATGTGGTCCTTTTGCTACCTTACTAATCACCAATTCAGTTAAGAATGAATTACTGCAAGAGCTTCTAAGCTGGCTTTCCTGTCTCTAATCTTTCTCATGTATGACACCAAAAATTATTACCAGAAAGCTCCATTTTTGTGTCATACGCAAAAGTCTAAAAGGTCTCAACTGATGACTAAATTCTTCTGACCAGCTTTCAAGGTCCTCCATGATCTCATCACCCACCACCTGGCAAGTCTCATCCTTCATTATCAATAAATAAACAAGTATCAAGTACCTGCCATTATAAGGGAAAAGGAAGAAACAGGTCCCTATCTTCAAAAGATTATAATCCAGGTGGAGCCATATGATAATATGGCTAGGCGATAAGTAACTGACTAGTTTATGGTATGGATAAAAAGTAATGTCAGTTTTTCCTGCCCTTATTCTTGTTTCTTATACCTCACCAGTCCTCCTCCTGGCTCCTTTTAAATACAAATCCTATCCAACCTTCAGGGCTTACCTCCAAACTTTCACCTCCTCCCTAAGTCCTTCACCAGCAGTTCTCCTGAGAACATTCTAATTCCTCCCAATTTGGACTACTTTATAGCAATTATAATTCAAATCAGTCTAGAGTTTAATTAAATACCATGCCTGGGGTTAGCAACTAAGCAGAAGGGAAGGGAGAGGAATTAGCAAGGGCCAGTCTCTTCCACACAAAGAAAAAAATATGCACAAAAATTAAAAGAAAAAGTTTGTGTACTTAACTATTCCTTAAGATACTTTCCAGTAGCAAAGAGTATTTGCAAGCGATAAAGTATATCAATCCAGGCTCTTAACTGCTACAAAGATATTTAACTGAAATGGTTCTAATCTTAACTTCATCTTCTAAGAAAATTCTCTTACCCATGAGACCTGCAGATGTCAGTCATTTTCTCTTTGGTTGTAAAATCTGCAGGTAGTTTAATTAGATGAAGGATCAGCTGATTGTAACCCCAGGAAAACAAGTGTGAATGAGGCCTGTGAAATGAAAAACTCCCTAAATTAGTTAGCAAATAAATTCTACAAAATGCTTATTAGTCATCTAATAGGTAAGAGCAGAATTTAATTATATTTGCTCCATTATTATATTTTTCAAACATTTTTACTTGGATTTTGAAAAATTAAAAACATTTTTCCTATCACAAATACCTATTTATTATTTAAAATTAGACATTTTTAGGTAATCAAAAACAAAAGCAAGAAGCCTATACTTCCAACCACTCAAATAGCCACTGTACATCCTTCCAGACCTTTTGTTTAGGTATATAGGATAAGTATTTGGGGGCTTTTAAAGCTTCTCTGCAGGAAAATACAAGAATCATTTCTGATACATTATAAATATAAGTGTGTATTTTTTATGAATTCTATTTTTTTTAATCCTAAATCATGTATGTCTAGAAATTTCTAGGGAGAAAAAACTCACAAACACATATGCACAATTTTTTCCCTTCTGTTACAGGGTAACAAAACTACAAAAATTCCAGGGCAGGAGGAATAGGGAAACTGAGACAAGAAAATTAAAATAAGGCCAAGCAGTTTGGACAGCTTGCAGCTAGCTTGTAAATAACAAGCCCTTATCTTCCTCAGCTAAGGACATTTGAGAGCAAAGATTAATGGCACTCCAAAGACAGCATAGAGGAATGAGGAAGGAGAAAGAAGAATGCAGTCTTATTTCATCCCATTTCCTAAACAGAAAAGCCAGCAGTCTCGGGGCTTGGCAAGATAAAACTGCCCGGTGCTTCTCAAATTCTAGGCAAGCCAAAACAAAGTAAAAAGGGGACCTTGAAAATTAGCCAAGGTATTTGGCAAAGGAGTTTTAAAATCTATAGACAAAAAGGTATATAAGGCAAACCCTCCCCCTCCAATCCCCACCCCATTAACTCCTGGGATTAGCCAAGAGGCCCATCCAGTGCATTATGCAGAATGATAAATTTGCTTGCTTTGTCCCTTTAATAAATTTGCATGTATTACTTTCTTAATAAATTCACTTTAACACAACACAATCATCTGGGAGTCACTCATTATAATTCATTCTTATGAGCATGACAAAAATCAAGGTGGGGACAGCCCTCTTCCTTCAACTCAGGGGGCTTTCGGATAACACCTCTCTGGTGTCTGTAAGAGGTGCATGTAACACTTCTAACACAGGTTTGGTTATCAAGAGTTCTTAATGTGGGTCCATGAAAGAACTTAAAAGGGTCAGTTTTGTTTTCTGTGCAAAATTTTGCATGGATATGCATTTTTCTAAGGTTCTTAATAGGATCTATAACTAAAAAATGTTCAGAATCACTAGGAAGTACACTCAATCTCTACTACCATAACTTGGCTCAGTCTCTTCCAGAGCTGTTCCTGAAGTAAGCCCAGAATGCTATACGTGAATAAACCAGCTCCATTCCAAAGGAACATCAGAGCTTAAAAAGAAAACTTCTATACCTGGGATTTCCTTCATCATCCATAGTGCTTGTGCTTGGGGGAGCATCATGGGACACTGCCAACAGCAGCCAATCCAATCTTAAAGATTCTGGTTGTAGAAGGGACTCAAGGAAGGATTGCCTAAGAGAAAGAAAGTAGGGGAAAAAGTCACCTTTTCATGCTGAGAAAGGAAATATAAATTGTAGGGATGTGAAAACATCACTGAGGGATCAATATAGTGAATAAAATAACTTGAAAATAACTTTTACTACAAAATGTCTAGAAAAGCTGGTGAAAGCCCAGTAGCCTTTTAAATGAACAGTTGAGCCCCAAGATAAGGAAAACACCAAACAGCCAAAAATAAAAAGAGAAATAAAAATCAGTATGGCAAATCTGAATCAATCAAAGGAAGAAGAGGGGTGATGGTGCAGGGTGGAAAGAATAGCCAGTCACAATAACAGGTGCTGTATGCCGATAGAAAATGAAATCTGCCTAATTTCAACTGCCCAGATCCTCCTCTCCTATTGTAGAGGCCTCAGTTCTGTGGCAGCTGACAGTAAAATTCTACAACTGCTTATACAAGAGAGATAGTCTGCAAATAATTCTCGCCTTCTTACCGGTGATCTTCAGGCCTTGATTTCACCAGACTGTCTAAATAGGCCAAAAACTGAGCAGGATGATGATGACAAAGTTGCATGACATCCGAAGGCAAAATTGATGGGTAAAACTTGATCAAGGATCGAAGGGCAGATTCCCCAAACTTCTCATACAATCTGCATTTAAAAACAAAACATGTTAGTCTCCAACTCCAGTGATATGATACAGCTTGGTTACTTATCTAAGTACTAATTAAAAATAAAGATAAATATATTAACAAGATAAATATATTAACATGCAACTGAGTAAAACTTCACAGGATAAAAAAAAAAGCATGTGATTTAGTTCATATAAACAATATATACAACAACTTACTGGGTAGCATAAGCAATCAACAAAGGACTGTCAAAAGGGACTGAATCATCCAGTAATTTTAATTTTGTTGGTAGATCTCCTTCTTCCATCTCCATATATGTAGGATTGGAACTTGCCATTTCTGAAAGATAAAACATACCCTTTCCCTTCATCTCATATCTGTAAATATTTAATTCATGGATACATTGGTTCAACAACCATTACTCATGCACCTTACCCTGTGCAAGGCCCTATGCTCATTAAGCAATACATGAGAGACAAACAAGAACAAGATACAACCTCTGCGTTTAAGAACCTTAAAACCAAATTGGGAGGCCAAGCATATTACAAGTTTTAAAGACAAAGTATCAGATCACCAATATATGTGTCTATTACCCTTGAAAAAGATATATAGTATATATGTATACTATCAACGCCAAATTCCTCTTTATTCTAGAACCAGTGCCCCTCTTTTGGAACAAAATAAGTTATTCCAATTTAGTTAAATTAATTTAAAAATTTTGAACTAGTTTTTAAAATATATTTCTATTGATTTTTAGAGAAAAGAAGGGAGAGGGATAGAAACATCATTGGCTGCCTCCTGTATCCCCCCTATTGGGAAACTCAGGTATGTGCCCCGCCTGGGAATCGAATCAATGACCACTTGGTTCCTGGGTTGAAGCTCAACTGCTGAACCACACCAGCAGGACTAACCTATTTTTTTCTTAAACATGTATAGCAAATCTTCTTTCTCTTAACAAAGACTTGACTTTTGGGAATAGCCAATTCATTTAATGCCAAGTGTGGTAAATAAAGTGAATGATGATCTAATTTTAACTATAAGGGAGGAGGCCATCATTTAAAGCTTACAAAGTAAGGGTAAGTTTTATGTTTGGGTGGAAGCTAAGTTTCATGATTAGCTGGAAGCTAAGCCAAATGTAACTCTAAATTCAAGCAAGCAGTGTATAATCTCAAACTAACTATCAGGCTTGCTCTAGGCAGCTCTGGTAATAAGTCAGGCTGAAAAGACTCTTTTCTGTTATTTTCCTGTGACTAGGGTTGGGTATGATTACAAATAGAAACATAAATAGCAAATTTCCAGTAAGTGATAATGTCAAACATATGAACCTATTTGAAAAGAAATAATTTTTCTTATTTCACATAAAAATCTACCTCAACTCAGAAAAAGAAATTGAAATCATTTCTTATACTTTTAACAGCTAAATATCAACTGAAGCAGAACCAGAATTATAGATCCATTTGTCAGAAAAAATATCTTTAAGTCAATAATATAAAACTGTATTTTGACTTGTGACTATTCACTTTTCTAATAAATTTAAAGTCTAAACCAAGTATAAGACACAAGGCATCTTTGATTCAAGCAGAATGTTGAATCTAAAAAATTCACCTCTTCAAAAACCTAGGCCTATGCAGTAGAAAGAGCATGCATGGTCTCTGGAGTATGAGAGTTGGTTTCTATGTGAGGATGACAAACAGTGTGACCTTCAATCAAGTGTAAAAGGAAGCCTGCTGGCAGTCTCCAAGACAGACATACAAGCTTTTCACCCACATCCATTCTCTTTCTTCCACACACCTGGATAGGTTACATTTCCCAGTCTCCTTTGCAGTCAAATGGGGTCATGTGATAGAATTCTTACCAATGGAAAGTGAACAGAAGAGATGTAAGCGACCACCAGGCCAAGCCTATAAGTAAGATCATGTTTGGCCCTTCCATGTGCTATCTCTAACACATAACAAACCAATCTCAATCACAAACTCAAAAAAAAAAGGAAGGAACTCAGAACTTTGGATTACCATACCTACTGACCTGAAACATCTGCCTTGAACTAGCAAATAAGCATGAAATAAACTTCTACAATATCTCGTTAATATTTCATGAGCTATTACAGTAGTGAAACCTACTTAACAATTATAATCTCCCTGTGCCTGTTTCCTCACCTATTAAATGAAATAACACCATCTCCTCTGAAGACTGTTGTAAGGATAAAATGAAACAATGCCTGGAAAGTATTTAACATAAATAGTGGTACACAATAGTACTCAAAAAATGGTAAACATTATTTCAATATTAGTAAGTTACTCAGATGTTGTTTTTTTCATTTTTATATATCTATACTTATAAAAATCTCACTTTAACCCCCAACTTCTTTAACATTGCTGTCATTTTCTAAATATGGTTGAAAGAAAACTAGTTTCTTATGATACAGATGCAAATTAAAGCAATATATACAGAACTATTAAAAATTAAATTGAGTGTAAATGCCAACGTGCTCTATATCAATCTCTACCTTTGGTAAGGCAATCTGACTATTACCTTTCAATCCTTTGATAAAAGTATCCCAAACACAATGATGGTCAGCGTAAGTAAGCTTGATACTCTCCTTTGCTCTCTTCAAGTCCAGGAGAAAAAAGTACTTCTTTAGAAATTGACAAGCCAGAATTTCAGAAGAGCACTGTTGCAAAGGGTGGTCCTCATGCCCATTTGTGTTTTTGATCTCAGAATTCAGTACATTCAATTCCAAACACAATGTTGTCAATTCAGCCAGGTCTTTCCGGAGACCGTTCGCTATGCTGCATGGAGAGCAGACTCGAAAGAGGTCATCCAAGGGCTCCCTCAGACTTTTTACAGATTCACATGCTGTGTGATCAACAGTTTCTTCATTGTCTAAAGAGTCCCTTTCTTCTTTTTCATTATCTTCAACCAATATTCCATTTTTTGACTCATCAAACAATAGCACATCCTCGTTCGATGTCGTGGATGAGTTGCAGGTGCCTGAAATGCCTGAAAAGTCCTTCATGGCAAATGTTTTTTCTAACTGTGAAAGCCACTCCTGTAAAACCTTTCTCAGAGATTCAGGTTCAAATAAAACCAGTGGGTCCTGTAGTTTGGTCCTATACAAGACAAACACATATGAAGTTTGTTGTGTTTTTTTTTTAATTTCTTTATTGATTAAGGTATCACATATTTGTCCTCATCCCCCCATTCCTACCCCCCATCCCTCCCCATTCATGCTCCCACCCCTCTATTGTGCTTAACCACTGGTTAGGCTCATATGTCTGCACACAAGTCCTTTGGTTGATCTCTCCCTTTTATCCCCACCCTCTCCTATACTCCCTCTGAGGTCCAACAGTCTGATCCATGGCTCCTTGTCTCTGGATCCGTTCTTGTTCATCAGTCTATATTGTTCATGATTTCCCCTAGGTGAGTGAGATCTGAAGTTTGTTTTATGTGTGTGTGTTTTTTTAAACAAATTATTTCATACTAAATAAACCTAATGAATACAGCATACTAATCTGAAATAAGTGTTATTTTTCTACTCTTTAACAACTGCCTCGGCAAAATGATAATACAGAGAACATTAACTGTATACTAATTCTCGAATTTCAATTCCAAATGAGACTACCTCTACCCCATATTGTCTCGGGACCATTAGTGATGATCCCAAAAAGTCATTCCCATTCACTGTAAAACGTCCTCATTCATAAATACTCACATTGCTTCTGCCGTTGCTATTTTGAGCTCTTGGAATTTATCTTCTTCTGGAGGTTGACTAGTTACTTCTTCTATTCCCCTAGAAGAGTGTGAAAAGAGTTAGATGGGATTATAGCTTCCTTAGACAAATATTTCTAAGTGCTTACTAAGTGGCAGGCATTGTACTTAATGTTAAATGAAATAAATAGATGAGTATACTTAATGGTCAATGGCCTCAAGATAAGTACATTCAAGTCCAAAAAGATAGGCATCCAAATAACTAACTAATCTAATATAATCTAAAAGAGAATAAAATGAATGCTAAAGAGCAGCACATACATTGTGCTATGAAAGCACACACAAAAAAGGAGTAATTCTTCTGACTAGGCAAACAATGGCAACTTTCCTGAGGAGTGGTATTTGTGTCAGAAAATATGGGGAGAAATAAAGCAAGGAGAAGAAAACAACACAAAGAAAGAGAGTGAAGTATACATACCTAATTCTCTCACAGGACTAAATTCAGAGTGCTTAGAAGGTTGTGGTTAAAAATGAGGCTGGAAAGATGAGCTAAGATCAGATTGAAGGCTGCCTTAAATTCCTAGGCACATATGTACATTTTTCTATAAATATATATAGATTCACTAAGTTATTATGAGAATAACATACTTTCTATTTCATCTCACTGTCCAGACACACTAGGACTACGGGTCTCTCTCTCAATTCCTGAATGAGTGCTGAGTTTGCTTGCCTCTAATGCTCAGATTCCCTGAACCATGAGATGATAGACAAGACACTTCACACTGTGCCAGAACAAGGACTATGCCACCAGTATATCATAAGAAAGTATAAGGCAAGACATCAATTCCAAAGTTCTCACCTTATAGGCCAGAGAACATTACTTACCTACCCAAAGTTACAAATTGGTCAGAAGCAGAGCCAGGACAAGGCTTAGATCCTTGGTCATCTTACTCTTAATTTAATATTCCTTCTCTAACATTCCAGAACTTGAAGAGATTTAGAGAGGAGAAGGTTGTGCAGGAGACAGATGCAAGTGTGCTAAATTAAAACTGTCTTAACAGATTTGCTATGGATAGATGTAATTTTACAACATTTAACTTGTGGTATTCACAATTTTTAAAAAATATATTTTTATTAATTTCAGAGAGGAAGCGAGAGGGGAGAGAGATAGATTGAAACATCAATGATAAGAGAGAATCACTAATTGGCTGCCTCCTGCATGCCCACTATTGGGAATCAAGCCCACAAACCAGGGACCCTTCAGTCTGCAGGTCGATGCTCTATCCACTGAGCCAAACCAACTGTGGTGTTCACAATTTTTTTGAGCTACAATAGCAATCAACAATGAGCAGGGTCATACATATATCTTCTCAAATAGGACATAACCTACGGTTTTCTTCAAATTGATAAATAACCCCTCCAGAATTTACACAGATTTATATGCAAAAGCTTACTCTGTATCTTCCTCTTTTGAGCAAGTGACAGGACTCACATCTTCTTCACATAACTGTTCATCACTCCTGGGCTTTGGTCTCACTTTCAGATCAGGGCTTGTATGAAGGGTACCAATCTTCTCAGTTGTTTTACGTACAAAGCTAGAAACACTGAAAGTCAAATACCAAAAACTAACATGAAAAGAAATCTAATTATACAACAAAAATGAAAAATTCAGTACCTAGTTCTCTATGTTTCTATTAGTCCCAGAAAGGCAACTTGGACTTAATAAAAGAAAGTCTGCTTACAGCAACTTCCCTAATCAACTATATATTTCACATAAGGTCCACATAAAATTTATAATATAATAATTTACTTCATTTACTAAACTTCTTTAAGTCCTAAAGAAAAGGACTTAAAAAAAAAAAAAAAAAAGTAAAGAAAATGTCTTCAACTCCAGTCTGTGATATTTCTATCAATTTAAGAAAGAAGGCCATATGACCACCTGCTCCACCCTAGCCAGAGAATTAATAACATTTCTTCATGAAAGTCAGCTGCCAACTAGTCACGACATCTTCTTCTTGATAAGCAAAATTTGTACCAGTAAGACAAATAAGCAGGTAAGTGGTTGTGCAAAGTCTTCTCTCTCAAACTCAAATGCCAATCTTGGTCCCAGGGATTAGTTAGACTTCTGAAGTCTCCAATTCTGAGCCCAAACTGAGAAAGGATAAAAAATTGACTAAAAGATGGCCCTGGCCAGGTAGCTCAGTTGGTAAGAGCATTACCCCCAATAAACCTTGGTTAAGGTTTCAAACCCCAATCATGGCACATCTAAGATTCAATGAATGAATGCATAAATAAGTGCAACAACAAATCAATGTGGGTGTTTTTTCTCTCTCTCTATAAATAAGTGAATTTAAAAAATAAATAAATAAAAAGGAAAAGGCAATGACTAATGATATATGTAAACTGTTTCTATGAGGGATGAGAAAAATATCAGATTTTTAAACTTTTGCTGTCTGTGGGCTAAAAAACCACATATGTAACAATTCAAATATCCAGCTACTCAAAGAGGGAAGCTAAATTCCCCAAGATGGAAATGAGAAGTTAACAGTTCCATATAACAGATGATATGAGAAATAACCTAGAAACTTTTTTTTTTTTTTTCTCATTTAAAATGTCTTTCCAGTCCTGGCTGGTGTGACTCAGTTGGTTGAGCATTATTCCACATACTGAAAGGTCACCAGTTCAATTCCCAGTCAGGGCACATGCCCAGGTTGTAGGGTTGACCCAGGGAAGCAATTGATCCATATTTTTCAATCTCTCTCCCTCTCACCTTCATCTCTCTAAAATCATTAAAATCATGAAAAGCATTTTTAAAAATCCTATATAATAAAAGCCTAATATGCAAATCGATCAAACGGTGGAACTACCAGTGCAACGGCCAGTTGCTTTGACATGCACTGACTACCAGTGGGCAGACGCTCAATGCAGGAGCTGGCCCCAGCCCAGCCAAGGCAGGTACCAGCAAGGACCCCTGATCAGCCAGCCAGTTGCCCCATAGATCAGCCCTGATCACCGGCCAGGCTTAGGGACCCTACCTGTGCACAAATTTGGTGCACCAGGCCCCTAGAAAATAAAATAAAATGTCTCTCATTCTCAGCACAAAAGTACCTAAATGGACAAAGAAAGTAAAGCCAGAATGGGATTAAACAAGACTAATTAGTTTACCTTTCCTTGACAGCCTGAAGAGACACAAGAGGAGATGGAGAGCGAAATGATAATGGAATGCCGAAGGGGAGAAATGTTTCATTCTTATCTGTCTCAAACGTCACTGAAACATGAGAAACATTGTCTGATGAATTAAATCAAGGGGGAAAAAACAAAATCTAATCATATGGGAGTTTTTTTAACCTTTAAAAAAATTCTGAAATAAATAAACCAAAGGAAATGAAAGATTCAATACCAAAATCACAACTGACCCAGATACAAATGAGCAGAACACAGGTTTACAAGATGCATGGGATGGTCCACATATAAAACACTCAAGCAAGTACCTTCATCTTCCTACTAACCCTGAATCCCCACAAGTCAAAAAGGAAGTTTAAAGTTTCTATAAATCTCTTCTCAACAGTTCGGTCACAGGAATGATCAAACATCAAAAAGTGTAGGCAATGGCCCCAAAATTGTAGTAATTTTTCAGTCCTAATGGAAAATAATTTGGTTAGTCAGATTAAAATTGCCCTGCTCTTCTGGTTAGTGACCTCCTTTCTTAATCTTTCCAGCATTTTAATGCATGATTAAAATTAGGTAAATTAGGTACTTTATCAATATTAGCCTAAGCATGGGGGAGAGGGAACAACTACACACAAATCTACTCTTCTACTGGTGAGCAGATCTACAGGTCTGGATGGAAAGTCTATCAACATAATAAAAATTAACACTTTATAGGAAACTCTATGCATGAGATAATCCAGGCAAATAAAAGTGACAGAAATTTAGTGCTTCATATCTGCAACCAATAAAAGACAAACTCAGGCCCTGGCCAGTGTGGCTCAGTTGGTTGAGTGTTGTCCAGTGCACAAAGGTTGTTGGTTCAATTTCCGGTTTAGGGTACTTGCGCAGATTGTGGGCTCATTCCTTGCTAGGGGGCATGTAGGAGGCAGCCGATCGATGTTCCCCTCTCACATCAATGTTTCTCTCTCTCCCTCTCCCTTTCTCTCTCTCTAAAAAGTCAGTAAACATATTAAAAAATATTCACATTCTAGTATATAAAAAGACACACTAATTACCTTCATTTCCATGTGAGCTGCAACACTGATCTGGCTGGTCCTCTTCTTGATGTGAGATGAATTCTTTAAGTCTCTCATCTTCTGAGAGGGTTTGGCTGTGAAGGGAACAAGTGTCTTCATCTGACTGACTGCCTCTTCTACTACTAATAATACGATAAATACCAGAGTCCAAGATGCTGAAACTTTCCTAAAAATGAAAAAGAATTCCAAAAAATCAAAGTAAAACTTTTCTTTATAACACAATGTAGCTTTTTAAGAGAAAAGTCAATGGTAAAAGCAGCAAGTCAATAATAACAATTATGGCTTATTAGTACAAACTGGCGAACAAGGTCTAGGCTCCTGGCAGCTGGTCACAGCTAAGTGAGATCACGCTACCATATTTCTCTAGCTTGTCCCCATAAAGCCTGGCAGTGAGAATAATCCTGAACTGCACTGAAACTCAAATTAGCATGAAGAATCTAAAATAATTGCATATTAGGAACAGAACAACTTAACTGCGCTGGAGGCTCTATGAGGTGCATTTGCAAAAAGAATATAGTTAAAAATGACAAAGCAAAATGTGGCTCCAAGACAAACTTAAATGAATGCTTCATAGGGTTGTCCAGCAGCTAAAATAAAGCTCCCTTTGACTGCCCTCCACTCCCGCCAAAAAAAAAAAAAATCTACTATATGGAAAGAAAGATAAGCTTTGGGATTCCAGAGGTGAGTAGAACCTAATGTAGAAAATCTTACTGTACAGAAAAACCCGTTAAAAGTGAGAATACCTACATGTGATGAAATGGAGCTTCTTCTGCTGCTGCAAGCTGAATCCAAAGGTTCAAATTTTAAGATTAATTCTTCTAGTTGAGAAATCAAATCACTATAGGTTGTGAGGTCCAGCTGAGATTTCAAGTGCTCCAATTTATCTACAGTCAATGATTTTCTTCCCTATTAAAAGGATAAGTATAAACCCAATAGAATAGCCTACTATATGTAACTAAATCTTTATTCAAATGGCCCATATATTTAAAGAAGTCTAACATAGAACATAAAACCTCAGAAGTGCTTTAAAAAAAGGTTTAACAAGTGAGTAAAGATTTAATGAGAATTACCTTAGGAATTAAGACTTTAATTAGAATTTACTGTATGCACAATCATCCCCTTTAAAACAAAGTGTGAGCGCTAACTGGTTTGGGTCAGTGGATAGAGCGTTACCCTGTGCATTCAAGGGTCCCAGGTTCGATTCTGGTCAGGGGCATGTACATTGGTTGCGACACATACCCAGTAGGGAGTGTGCAGGAGGCAATTGATCGATGTTTCCCTCTCATCACTGTTTCTAACTCTCTACCCCACTCCCTTTCTCTCTATAAAAAAAAAATTAATAAAATATATATTTTTTTAAAAAAATAAAAGAAAGTCTGAAATTCAAATAAATTTGTGAGTAAACTTGATTTTTTTTTTTAATGGAAAGTATGCCCTTTTTTCTACCCTCCACCCACTCCTAGATTTATTTGTTATGTTTCCTTTGGGAATACACTGCTGCTTTATCTGTAGTTCATATAGAAAGGGCTAGTTAAGCCAAGAAACTTTGTAGCACAATCTTGCAAGCTAGGATGGTTGTAACAACCCAGATGAATATGTAAGCTCTCTGACTCACTCTGCCAGCAATGAGAGAATTCTGGAAAAGACAGCAAGTGTGAGCAGCCAGGTTCCAAAGGCCCCTCCTAAGCAGGCGTTCCACACAGCGTTCCACAGATAAGAGGGAAAGATGCGAGATTTTCCCATTTAGATGCAAACAGAACAGCTCATTCTTGAAGACAGCCACATCCTGAATATCTACAAAAGCCAAAGGGTGGGGTGAGCACACAGATGTTACCGGTAAACAAATATTCCTTTTCCATTTTTGCAAGGGTTGAAATTATTCTAATAAATTCACTTTTTCAATAGGTTTGGCTTGATTGAATTTCATCTTTTTATATTTTCATTTCAATAAAGAAATAATATTTTAGACACTATTCTAAAAAGAACAAAAATAAAAGAAACAGAAAAAGAAACGCATCTCTCTGATCCAAAGTCCTATTTTAAAATGCTATTTTCTGTGAAAGGAATTGGGACTTTAAAAGAGGACACTTGCCGAAACCGGTTTGGCTCAGTGGATAGAGTGTCGGCCTGCGGACTGAAAGGTCTGGGGTTTGATTCTGGTCAAGGGCATGTACCTTGGTTGCAGGCACATCCCCAGTGGGGGGTGTGCAAGAGGCAACTGGTAGATGATTCTCTCTCATCGATGTCTCTAACTATCTGTCCCTCTCTCTTCCTCTCTGTAAAAATTCAATAAAATATATATATTTTTAAAAAGAGGACACTCTACAGTAGAGACCAGACTATGGCATTATGAGAGTTATCATCTAATGTCAAGTAATGGGTTTTAACATACTATGTAAATAAACAAACAGTTTATGGAAAAATAAAAACAGAACATCATGAAAGTACTTAATGCAGACTATCATGAAAGAACTTTAAAAACTAGTTTTAATATCACTAACATGGCATCTAAATAGATGGTCCCGTAGAAACAGTAAAATGGTGGTTTCCAGGGACTGGGGTTGTGGGGGAATTGGGATATGTTGGTCAAAGGATACACACATGCAAAAGGAAGATGAATAAATTCTAGAGATCCAATGCACAGTCTTATGATTATAGTAAAAAATATTGAATTATGTATTTCAATGTTACTAAGCGATAAACCTTAAATGATCTTACCACAAAAGGTGGTAATCATATTGCAATACATAAATGAACCAAACCAACACACTGTACAACCTTAAACATATACAATGTATGTGTTGATTTTTAAAAGTCTAAAAAGGAGAAACAAATTAGTTTTCATGGGATACCCCTTAGGGTACTTAATCCATAAGAAGTCAATGCTGATCAGAATCAATAAGTAATGGTTTCTTTCTTTTTATGTTTTTACAAAGCAGAAAATGACCAAAAGTCAAATATACTTCCTGAGAAGCAAGCTAAAAAAGCTAAATTTCCTCCATTTCTGGTTTTAACCAAAAGAATACAGAGATTGATTTTCTCTGTTTCAGTCATTTACAATGGCTATTGTTCCCATAAGGACTTTCTGAATCCAAAACTATTGAGACACAAAACAGGAGTTAAAGCAAGACTTCCAATAGGAGTAAAGATTCAAGATAAGTAGAAGGGGGAAATTTAACCCATTCAATCCTAAACAGTAGTTACTAATATTTAAGAATAAATAAAAACTATATTTAAAAGTTATCCCTAACTGGTTTGGCTCAGTGGATAGAGAGTAAGTAGGCCTGTGGACTCAAGGGTTCCAGGTTCGATTCTGGTCAAGGGCATGTACCTTGGTTGCAGGCACATCCCCAGTAGGGGACGTGCAGGAGGCAGCTGATCAATGTTTCTCTCTAATTGATGTTTCTGACTCTCTGTCCCTCTCACTTCCTCTGTAAAAAATCAATAAAATATATTGTTTTTTAAAAGTTTAAAAGGCATAAAAAAATAAATAAGCACAAATTCAGAAATGTATGCTAGTGAACTACTTTACAAAGGGAAACATCTATAATATTAATGTTTAAAAGGAATGTCACCTTGTTCTGTTTTTTTTATATCTTACACTACAAGAGAATCCTCCTATAATAATTCAATCTTTCACAAGCATGGGATTGTAAGTTACATAAGGAAAATATAATTACCTTTGACTTCACTCCAAAGAAGAACCTGAACATTCTGAGGAACGAAAATATAAATTCCTCTTTCTGTCCAAGTTAACACACAATGCTCACTGCAAAAGAAAATGGAAGGAATCAAGAAAATTCTAGTTTGCTCAGATACAATTTATGATATAATTCCTTGCATTCAGACCCTTATATTAGCTATCAAAGTAAAACTAGCCTGTACAAAGAAAATATAAAAGTATATCGGCCAAACAAGTCCTGAAATCTCTTTTCTATCTCTAACAATGTACTGCTAAAAAAGTTATATAATGCCAACTGGGAAAAATTCAATATATATGCTAAATATCTTCTAGAAAAAGAAAACAAAAGGTTGGTATCTTTCCTTAGGTTTGTTAAAGCTGCTAACCTTCCCATGAGTTATTAAAGGGGTACATTTAAAACAAAGACTAAACATAGCACCTCCCCACCAGTCACTACTCCAGTGAGTCACTTTAAGGGATGGTAATATTTTGATATCCTTAGTTGTGAGTAAGTAAGAAAGGTTGGAAACTCCCAGTCAACTATGTGCCAGGAGCTTTACTGAAGATTCTACTTACATTATCTAACCCTGTAGCAACTCATCAAGATAAGTGCATTGTCTGTATTTTTTTTTTTTTGAAGTGCAAAAACATAAAAATATAGGCCATTCAGCATAAATGCATAAGAGTCAGAATTTATACCAAGAACCCTCTGGGCTCTAAAACTTAGACTTTTCTCTATGCTTCCCAAAATCTACTTCTTCCCTTATTTATCCTCTCAACTGTTACCTGGAATCCAAAATATTCCTCTTTACTGCATTCTCTTTCCTACCTGCCAAACCCAATAACCCTTCCTCATTTCCCTTCTTGATCCCTAAGCAAGGGCCAATATTGATGGCTGTCCTTCTTTCCAGAATCTCACCTACCTGGACTCTGGAACATTGCACTTTCTTTTGTAGTTCCTGCCCTGGTACTCTTCATCTCTGATCGTCTTTCTATAATCCTTTGCTCATATAGCTCACTCTCTCAAAGCTACTACTATTTTCTACATACCACTGGTAATCTGCTTCTTGGCTTCCCCAGGGCATTCCCCAACTTATAATGCTCTCATTCTAGCCACCTCTCAAGGATCAGAAGTTGTGCTCACCTCTGAAGTCCTTCTCTGATGGCACACAGCAATTGCTTTTCTTCTTGCACCCAACCTATCTCTTGCCAACCCTGCTCATCTGGCATTAATCATGTACTGCACTGTCACAAGTCTTTTTAAAAAAATATATATTTTATTGACTTTTCACAGAGAAAAAGTGAGAGGGAGAGAGAGTCAGAGAAACATCGAGGGGACAGAAACATCCATCAGCTGCCTCCTGCACGTCCCCCACTGGGGATATGCCCACAACCAAGGTACGTGCCTGCAACCAAGGTACAGGCCCTTGACCAAAATCAAACCTGGGACCCTTCAGTCCACAGGCCAACGCTCTATCCACTAAGCCAAACCGGTCAGAGCATAACTCTTATTTTTTTATTGTTAAACTTTCTGTAGACAAACTTTCCAACAAAATATGATCTTGAGATCAGGGACATTTTTTTTAATGCACCCAAGGGTACTAAAAATTGTACCATGTAACAATGAAACTAAGAGTGATATTTAACACAAATATTAAACATTTTGCCAATATAAGACCCAGACCTTTGTCACAAAGATGAATAATATGATCAGAATCCTAGTCCAAAGTAAGTAAAATTAGAAGGCTGCCTTCAGGAGCCAAAGGAGAAAATAATGAGAGGCCAGAAGATCCCTGAGTAAAGAGATACAGGATCATGATTTTGATACTAAACTTGATATTCAACTGGAAAGATCCCTTAGGAGTAGCAAACTAGATTAGATTGGGGGTGGTGATTAGGGAATAGATAAGAGCTGATACTTTATAATTTATATATCCCTCTTTCCCTTATCCCTTCACTGATAACAGACTGGGACACAAGCCTAACAGCATTGTTTAAGAAGGGAAAGTGATAACAATGTACTAAAAAAGAAAGTATAAAATATGCTTTCTTGTAGGATCTGTGGGTATAACAGTAATGATTACCACAAGACACAAGTATACAGGTAGGAAATAATAGAAAACAAAGGCTCTCCTACTCATGGTTTCTCAAAAAAAATCTTAGTTGAATTCTTTAATTAAGCTATTCTTTGAGAGCCTTATATGTGTTTTGCACTGCACCCATAGTAAAAGAGTTGACAACCTGGTGCTGGGATGAATACAGTGAAATAGTGGTGATGATGAAGGAATGAATAAGATGTGACAACAGTGCACAGGAATACGTGCCTAGTCTAAGCAGCATTAGGAGTCAGCAAAAGCTTCAAAATAGCATTAATTATTGCTTACACTGAGACATAGGCAGAGGCAGATCATGAAGGGCTTTGTTTGGTAAGGCAGAAGCTGAAATGGGAATTTTATTTATTTATTTTTTTATATATTTTATTAATTTTTTACAGAGGAGGAGAGAGGGATAGAGAGCTAGAAATGTCGATGAGAGAAACATCGACCAGCTGCCTCTTGCACACCCCCTACCGGAGATGTGCCCGCAACCAACGTATATGCCCTTGACCAGAATTGAACCTGGGACTTTTCAGTCCGCAGATCAACACTCTACCACTGAGCCAAACCGGTTTCGGCTGTAATGGGAACTTTAAATAGCTTTTACTCAAAGGAATAATAGTTCTACCAGGAGAACAGCAAACTGTAGCCTCGTTATTAGAAAACATATTTTTGGGTAAGGGACTTCCCCATGCCCCATACATTACAGTCCACAAATATTTATTAACTGTCTATATATGCCAGGCACTATACCAAGCACTGAGAATAAATAGTGAATAAAACAGACATGGCACCCTCATAAAGTTTACTAAGAGTAAAACGGGCATATATACTGCATGCATATGTAATTTTAAATTGTGATAAGAGCCATAAAGAGTTTTTAGTATTCTTTATTTAATTGTGAACAAAAAAATAACTGTCTCCAGTAACTTTCAGGATACTTTATAATTTACTTTTAAATACTTCAGTGTAGGTAGTGAGACACATACATACATAAGTTAGGAGCAATTAGTTAACATTTCAAGTGTTTAAAAAAAAAATCACATTCTAAGAACAGTTAGCCTTTGAAAAACCCCAATCAGGAGTCTACACTTCAGGGAACCTATAGTCAGCTCTAAATAATATTCTCTGAATCTGCATTAGAGACCTTATGCATTGGCCAAATATTTTCCATTGTTGAAATAAGTAGCATTCCAGACACATAGATTTGGCTGGATATCACACTGACATCCCCATGCTTGCAGAACAAGGTGTAAGAATTGGCAAGCCCAGCAGCTGACAGCCTTTAATAGCACTCTGGGTTGCCACTAAATGACGGACTTTTGCACTGAATCCAGTAGGTTAACTGAACCCTGATATTAAAAGATGGCCAGATGAATCTACCTCAGGTGGATCTTTCATGCAAGGAACTTGTCAGAATACCTAAAGGACTGAGAGATGAAGTTTCACCAAGCTTACAAGAACAAGTTTTACAACTATTTTTGTCCTTGCCTACTAAGAATTAAAATTTTATTAAAAAAAAAAAAAAAACAACATTTAAAAGGTAACTGCCCTTGAGCAAGAAACAAAAGGAAAAAGTTGTGTGTGTGTGTGTGTGTGTTTTAAGGATCAAATGGAGAAACTTACCTAAGATGCAAGAGTTTGGGGAAAGACAAAGACTGGGAGGACCCAACTGTATGGTCATACTGAGGTTCTGATCTAGGAAGTAAACACACCCATTAGTGATTTCATCACAACAGGAAAGCATGTTTTCCCTCCATAGGAAAATTTTTGCCTCCAAACACATCCAAATCCCTAATTACATGTGCCCTTATTCAATTTGCTTTAAATTATATGAAAGATAATTGGTGAAAAAGACTTTTTGGTTTCTCTGAATTTTTTAAGGCATAATCTTTAACACATATAGAATATCATGTGTTAACATCTCCATGAAAGTTCCTCAAATACTCCCCACCAGCCATACAAATCATTACCTTACCTGAGAGTAATCACAGGGAGAGGTGGTGATGAGAGGAGTTTCTTAAACTGATGTGTACTTATAACTTCCCCATCAAAGTTCACTTCCCACATTCTGGAGCCAGGACGAGCACAATATATTAGAGGTTGCTGGCCCGCAGCACACCTTCCAGGGAAGAAACAAGCTCCATATTCTCCATCTCTTTCTTTGTTTCCAATTTTCCAAAATTTTTCTCTAATACCCAAAAAGGAAAAGAAAGCATGATTGCCTACAAAAGTCAAAAATAATGGCACTACAAATCAGCATGGAATAATGTGAGAGAATCAACTATCAGCTGCCTCTTGCACACCCCGTGCACACACCTCAACCTGGGCATGCCCTTGACAGGAATCCAACCTAGGACTCTTCAGTGTGCAGGCCGATGCGCTATCCACTGAGCCAAACCAGCTAAGGCTCAGCCAAATTTCTGAATTGGAACATTTGATAAACTTGAAAACCTACAGGTGAAAAATAATTAAGAACTTTGTGAAACTAACAAGTATTTTATAAAATCTCAAAGGGTGGAGTTAATGGCCAAAGGTCCAATGTCAAAGGCTGTATTAGAGGTAACTGAGGTAACAGGAAGGGCACAGAACCAGCTAGGCCTCAGCTTTCTGATCTACAAAAATTAAAGGGTGACACAAGATGAGCTCCAATTCTATAAGTCTAACCTCACCACTGAACTATAGTCTGAAATAAGTCCGAAGCAAGTGCATCATCCTTCCTACTGATTGCATGTAAACTGACCACTTATATCTCAAAGTCTTGCCTCTCTGCTATCCAGCCAGGTTCTCTGATACCAGACACCTGCCACCTGCTATAACTGGCCTCCTTCCCATGTGCCTTTCTTATCCCAAGAAATAAAAGCAAAGTACATCTCTCTTTATCCTTTCCTCTACCATCCCTGACAATCAGCACACATTTCTTCAAACCTTTTGGAATAAATATCCTCCTGCTTTCTCAAATAGCAGTCTCCTAAAATACATGAACCCCCAGAAATACAGACTTTCAAGCCTAGACAGTTCTTAAGAAATCAATTTCCAAACCCTATTTTCTCTATGTACACTTTCTTAAAATGACCTGAGAACCCACCTACTCAGTGTGGCATTTAAAGCTGTCATTCTCGGTGTGGTGCCAAGTAAACAACATTTTCCCCACAACTCCTCTTCTTAACCCAGATTGGCAAGTTCTAGAAATGCTGATGTCTTTGTCATTTTTCCTCTAAGGGCTGTTCCTTCCTGCTAGAATATCCTCCCAGCACCTCTTCTTCCAGATTTCATTTACTGATAATCCTCATCAAAATTACTGGAGCTGGCTAGTAGATTCACTATACTATTCTCTCTTCTTTTGTGTATGCCCAAAATTCTCCCAAAAGTATTTTTAAATGGGAAGGTCCTGAGGAATTTTTGCAGGGAGGGGGTAGGGGGGGCTAAGGGGAAAGAAAGAGAGCCAGTGAAAATTTCCCTGCAGTGAGAATGGCTGAGGAACTTCGGCACAGTGATATATAATATTCATTTCAAGCTGTTTCCATTCTGTTCTGGTATTTCACAGACACCTCTTATATATTCTTTTGCCATTCATTGGACCTTTGCTCTACCTTTGAGATTTTGGTTGAATATTTGTCAGCTTCACAATTTCTTAATTATTCTTCATCTAATTTTACACTTAAGTAAAATTCCATTAAATATACAACAAATTCAATTAAGGAAACAAGCCTTATTTTGTCTTTCTTCATGGCACTTAGATCATGCTTCAGAGAGAGTTAACAGTTCTCTAAGTCACCCACTTGACTGAATCAGTATCCTCTATCTCTTCTCTACTCTCTAACATCAGCTTGCACACAGCTGGTTCCTAATGAATATCTGTATAATTAAATTGAGGGGATTGGGTTAGACTATTTTTAAGTCCCTTCCAGTTCTTAAATTCTGTATATCCTATGACACGTGGTTAGTCAATATACCTTTCAGTGTCACACAAGAAGGATCGAGTGAGTGAAGATACAAGCAGTCTTCCATCCAAATAATCTAACTGGACAACACAGGAGTCAACTGTTGTTATTGTCTGAACAGGAAACATCACAAAGGTAGCAGCTGCCTAAAAGGAACATAACAAAGAAATACAGTTTATTTATCATTACATATACACATAATCTCCTTCTCTACCTTTTAAATGTAAATACCTCGGATAGCAAAATAAAAACTCTTAAGGGACCAAAATTTGATTTGCCTATTGGAATATCAAAGTTATGTGAAATAAATTGGTACACAACTGCAGAAGAGAAATCTTAAGGCTCTCTTAGTGATGATCCAAACTGAGAGTTGGAATAAAAAGATGAAGCAAGTTTTCAAATATGTAAGGAAATTTTTAATTTGTAGACAGAATTCTCCCTTTGGAAGAAAGACAAATTAGGGCTGTACTATGTATCAGGTTCCAATTATATTTTGGATCAAAACTATAAAGATTCAAGTGATAACATTGATGGGTCATTACGAACAAACCGTAAGAATATTATGACATGGTAATTAAAATAATTTAGCCAAAGGTAGTTAGATCTCTTTTCTGCCAGGATCCTATATGGAAATAAGGGATGAAAAAACAAGTTCCCCACTTCCAATATAATAAATAACCTTTGGAAGAGAGAGATAGTGCAAAGCTGGCTTAATGACAGACTGGAGCATTCTGGTAGGATAACCTGAGACTCAACCCTTCCATCCCAACGTAACTGTGACACGCACGAAGTCTGGGATCCTCCACAGCTGAGCACAATCCAGGAGGTGCCTTTAAGATTCCATTCACGCCATCCTCAGAAAAAATATATGATACCTAGGCCCATGAATTTCTTCTACCCTTACAAAGGAGCCTGGGCGATTGATGCCATTTTATTCATACAACTAATAAACTGGCATCTTTCTTAATAGCCTAGTATTAAATAATGTTTTATTTAAGTTAGCCATATGGATAAATTATGAAGTACTATAACAGACAAGCATAAATTACTGAACTTAGCTCACAAAAGCCATCTGTAACAGTATCAAGCAAAACCAGACTCCCATATGTACCAAATACTAACAAGTCTCTCAAAATTAATATTCTTGGTTCTAGATCAGTCCCCAAAATATTTTGGTAGATAAAATTGTGTTCTTTGTTTGAAATTCTGTGACATACCACCTTTTATCTCACCCACATATGAAAATAACTGGGCTGATTCTTACCCTTGCTTGTTTAGAAGTGGTGAGTTTGATGGCTGAAACTTTCCCCATATGATCACCTACAAAAACTCTAAGAATCGCTGTATCCCAACAGAGAGCTGTAACTTTTCGGCCCTTGTGTTCTGAAGACACAGAAATTCGTTCTGGTTTCCCACGACGCTCTTGATTTAATTCCCAAACAACTACAAAACCTTGACTGCAAAGATTGAGACAAAGAAGCAAATTTATGGCAATGGTGAAAAAGGTACAATTTAACTGCATCACAGTATCAACTATACTAAATATATATGTAAACTTGTTCTTTAGAAAAGAGGAAATAGAAAGTCAAGGTATTTATTTCCTTGCATTAGTCCACCAATCCAGCATATAAGAACTCAGATGTTCTAAATTATCTGTTACCTTGCTCTTTTTAAGACCACTGAAATGTTGTTGCCTCATTTTAGCATTTTCCACAAACACAGGGCAACTGACTGTCCATCCCGGTTTGCTGGGGAATGAGAGGTTTCCCAGGACACAGGACTTTCAGTGATAAAAGTGAGACAGTCCTAGGCAAATCAGGATGGTTGGGCACCCTACACACAGCTACATTTGTTAGTTTAAAATGCACCTGGATAAGGCCGGATAGTTTTTAAACAGCTTCTCACCTGGTAGCTACAGCAACATAATCATCATCATATGGACAACAGGCAACCTGAGAAATTGCTCCTTCCTGGAGCACAAAAAGGAAAATTAGGCAGTTTCACAAAAATGTGTGTGTGTTTTTTCACTTTTAAATCTCAAGTTTTATATTTTTCTTTTATTCCAAATGATTATTCATAATGGAGAAATTGGCATTTATGAAAGATACTCCGAATGGTATATGACAGAGCTAGCCTTAATCTTACCCTATGTGAAAGGAAGAGCCTGTGCTTCCAGCCTTCCTTTTGAATGAGGTTGAGACCTCCTCCTGAACTGCCCAAGGCCAACCATTTCCGAGATACAGCTATGCTCGTGCACTAAAAACATGTAAACAGACAAGAGTGAGTTCACCACAGTCATTTAATCAAACAAACTATGCACTAGAAATAAATACTGAGGATCTGTGTACCAGGTTCCTCTCCCAGCCACCCCCTGCCCAGTTGGATACCACATAATGGCATTTATGCTCTCATTCTAATATACTGAAAAATATACAAGAAGGAACATTTTGGCTTTTTTTTATTTATTTAATATATTTTATTGATTTTTACAGGGAGAAAGGGAGAGGGATGGAAAGTTAGAAATATCGACGAGAAACATCAATCAGCTGCCTTCTGCACACTCCCTACTTGGTATGTGCCTGCAACTAAGATATATGCCCTTAACTGAAATCGAACTTGGGACCCTTGAGTCCGCAGGCCAACACTCTAGCCACTGAGCCAAACTGGTCAGGGCCATTTTGGCTTTAAATTGTTAATTTTTGAATCTCAAAATGGCCAAACAGGCTCAATTATATGAATGAGTAATTCATCTTTTGTGTAATTTAGCTTGGCTATTCCAACGCTGACCACAATGATGGAGGATAAATTACGTCTCCAGGGGATACATCACCACTTTAATCATTTGTTCACTTCAATAATTTCGCATTCGTATAATCAGCATAAACATCCAAAGCTTTTAGAGCAAGTGAGACTGCGGAGGACACAGATAAAGGTCACTACGTATTATTTTTCCCTACACCCTCACTCTCCTTATCCACCAGAGAAAGAGCGGCCATGCTCTAACAGTGGTAAAATTGTTGCTTGGTCGACACACAGACTTTCCCATCCCTCTTCAACCTTGCTGCTTTCCGCCACAGAAGCTAGAAAATCTAAATGTTCACTTGCCCAGTTTCTCATGCAGTTATGGGGAGTCATGTGGCTCAAATCCAGCTAATAAAACTAAGACAAAAGCCCTACCTTCCCAGATAAAAGGCAGAGTCCAAAAACAAAGAAAGACTTTATATTTGGCCCCTTTTTCTTACTTGAGATACTAATGGAAACATCAAGATTAGAGCCAGGATACTTATCTTGCAACTGTGACTAAAAACCAACATATGGATGATGGCAGAACAGAAAAATGGAGAGCCTGGGTCCTCAGGGAAATCACTGGGCCACAACACTAAACCCAGAAATACTAACCTCCAACAGGTTAATAGCATCGCTAATGCTTACGCCACTATTGGTAAGGTATTCTATAACTTGCAGCTAAAAACATGTCTGCTATCGGCCCTTATAATTGTTGCTCATATTATTTTGCCCGTTACTTCCTATTCTCCCTTTGCTCAGAGGCTAAAATGGTACTTAGGGTGAGAGCAAAAGTGTAAAAATAAAACTATTTTAAAATTGATTATGAGACTTGTTCTGCAACGTGTTATTCCTGAGTTTATCCAAAGAACTCAGGATTTGAAGGAAGCACATAGAGATAATGACTTATGCTACAGAGCTAATAACTTTTGCTCTGTTCCCTAAATGGATGTACATCAAATTCCTTGTTTTGGAATGAGTTTAGTTTATCAGCAAAGGTTCATGTTGCTCAAAACTCATAAATACTATTTTATTTTCAATCAAATACATTACTTTCTAAGAGAAGACGGAAAGATGACTGAGGGGGGGGGGAGGTGAATCAGCAATTAATACCATGGTTTCCAAGAGGCACATGTAACAGCACACAAACATATGAATATAAATGTGAGTCATTCATATCAAGAAATTCACCTTTAGACGACTTGAGTCCAGCCTTAGGGCTGAAAGTAATGGATCCAGAGAATCAAACTCTGCCAGAACATGGGTGTAGGACTCCGGGATGACTGGCACAAAAGTCATTTAGCTGGAAAGGTGAAACTATGTTGAGTGATAGGCACAGGATTCCTGAATTAAACCTATAAAAACATAATTTAAGAAGCTCAGCACTCATTTGACATGCATTTAATGAGTATGTAAAGAACACAGGAAAGAAAGGGACAAGAATCCCTACTCTGGAGGTGTTCAGCTTTTAGGTGGAAAAAAAACATGCATGGGTAACATGCAAACATCAGCTTGTACTGCATCATTTCCTGATTCTAAACCTCCCAGAATAAGGCCAGATTCTCAAGGCCTTCCATAATCCTACTGGACTCATCGAACAGTGTGAGAAGGTAGAATGGACACTGCAGGATTTTTTTTTAAATATGTTTTTTATTAATTTTAGAGAAGGAAGGCAAAGGGAGAAAAGGGATAGACATATCAATCAGCTCCTCCTGCATGCCCTCTATTGAGGATTGAGCCTGCAACTCTGGCATGTGCCCTGACCTTGAATCGAACCCCAACCTCCTGGTTCATAGGTTGACACTCAACCACTGAGACACCGTCTGGGCAACATTGCAAGATTTAAGAGGAAAATTGGTCAAGCTCCTCGACAGTAAAATAGCAACCCTAGCTGCATTTAAGTTGTATATCATCTTCAGTCGTTAAGTATCTTTCATTAAAGGACAATTTTACTTATTGAACGGTAATTTTCAAAAAAGGCCTCTAACTATAAATCCTTATCAGCAAATTCAATGGTTATCAGTCAACAATTTAATAGTGCTTAAAGGAATAGACCTCTGGATCTCTTTCTCCTGCCTATCAGGAGCTCATAAGTACCTGCAGAATGAATAAATGAATGCACCTACTAAGTAAGTGAGAAGTCAAGTGCAGGTAATTACAGCTTGCGGAGGAATAAGAACTTGTGTAAGAGACCTGATAGGAAGGTAGCAAATGCCAAATACCCAAAGAGGGCTTTGTAAACTAAAAAAGAGTTCTTAACTGTTCAACAACTCTCAAGTATGCAGTTTTGTCAAATTGCATCAGTTTCCAAGAAAGGAAATAAATAAAAGTTAAGGAAAGTCTATCCTTAATTTTAAATTTTCCCAATCCTGTTACCTGCCAAATTAAGAACATAAAGCAAATACTTACCCTGGCCGGGGAGCTCAGTTGGTTAGCGAGTCGTCTTATATGTCAAGGTTGTGGGTTCAATCCTTAGTTAGGGCATATACAGTCAATGAATGGAATAAGTGGAACAACAAATCAATGTTGCTTACTCGCTCACTCGCTCTCCTTTCCTGTCTCTAAAATCAATGAAAAAAAATTTACAGAAATAATTGCTTATACTTGTTTTTTCATTATTTACAGTTTGTGTTTTTTCAGAGACACATAAATTCACTCATTCATTTACTCAACAAATATGTACCTAGCACTGAGTAGCCAGATTATTATGATCTCTGAACGCATAATAATCTGGCCACTCAGTTATATCCTATATAACAAAAGGCTAATATGCAAATTGTCCCCTCGACCAGGAGTTCAACCAGCAGGCAGGCTGGCCAACTGCCCATGTCCCCTTCCCCTGGCCAGGCTGGACGGACCCCACCCATGCACGAATGCATGCAAATGTGTATATGTATATGTATATGTATATGTACACACACACACACACAAACACACATACACTGAGTGGCCAGATTATGTGTTCAGAGATCATAATAATCTAGCCACTCAGTGTATGTGTCAGGCATTGTTCTAGGTCCCAGGGACAACAAAAGAAGACAAAACAGTCTTAACACTCATGGAGTATACCTTCTAGTGACAAAGCACATACAAGCTTCAGATATTTTTATTGTATACACATAATATAGTCTTATTTTCTAGCAATAAGTTATCTAGCATACGCTAGTAACACTATTCTTATACATCTTGACCTCTGCAGGGAGAACAATATTCAAAAAAAGAAAAATATTTACTCCAAGATATTTCAGGTTTGGTTCCAGATCACCCTAATAAAGTGAGTACAGCAATAAAATGAGTCAATCTTTTTACTGGTGGAAGGGCTTGTCTTCAATTAAAAAAAAAAAAAAAAACACGCAACATCTGTGGAGCACAGTAAAGCAAAGTACAATAAAATGAGGTATGTCTATACTTAAAATATTTGAGAATTTCTGACAGAATAAAAATCTTTTTTTTTTTCACTCATTCATTTTATTGAGTACTTAGTAAAATATGAGGCATAGCAATGGGAACAGGTCAAATAAAATACCAGAAACCAATCACTTTAAATTCAAATAGGAGGGGGGAAAAGAACAAATCTCACATACACACGCACATCTTTCACAAGGGCAACATATGCAAAGTGCTATGTTGGAACTTAAAAAACAGAGATAATCACGAATTCAAAGGAACCATGGAAAACTTCCCAAGGGAAGTAGCCTTGGTAGCTGAGTAGGCTCTTATCAGAAGAAAATGGGTGAGGGTAGCAGATTGGGCAGTAATAAGCAAAGATATATAGAATATGTTTGGAGAATATAAGTTTAATCTTTGGTTGAAACATGGGATCCAAGCAACGGAATAATGAAAGATAAAGCTGGAATAGCAATTCAAGCACAAGTTACAAAACACTTTGAATCTCAAACCAAGGAACCTGAATAAATTTTAATTTGGAAGGCAACAAAGGTATTGAAAAATTCGTGTTGGATGATCACATAATTTCTGTGAAGTCCTGTGGGTAGATATGTGAGAAGGATGGAGAGTGACGAAGTAAAGATAAGGCTTTTTCAATTAATTAAGAAATCAGCTGGAAAGAAAACAAACTCTTGGCTTTCTGACCAGGCAAAACTCAAAACAGTTTAGGTGCTAGCTAAAAGAAAAAAGTCTCTAAAATGAAAGGATCTGGAGATAAAAGAAAAAGATAAAACCACAATATAAGATCCCGAAGAAGGACTGACCATCAAGACCACAGTATCACCGAAACCGGTTTGGCTCAATGGATAGAGCATCGGCTTGGAGACTGAAGGGTCCCCGGTTCGATTCCAGTCAAGGGCATGTATCTTGGTTGCAGGCATATCTCCAGTGGTGGTGGTGGGGGGGGGGGGGGGTGCAAGAGGCAGCTGATCCATGACTCTCTCTCATCGATGTTTCTATCTCTCTTCCTCTCTGTACAAAATCAATAAAATATATTTAAAAAAAAAAAAAAAAAAACCACAGTATCGATCTCTTCTACTTGTAATTTTCAAACTGCGGTTGATTGGCCATTTGGCCTTGATCTCATTGAAGAGAAAATGCCCTGGAAGTTATGATTTAATGGAGTAAAAAACTATTTTGTTCTTAAGATTTAGTGGAGATAAGGATGGAAAAGAAACAGCATAAGCAATATCAGTTCTCAAGAGCAGTTTTTCTGTAATTCTCCATAAGTTTTTTTTTAAAGCTTTATAGAAACCTTCAACAGCTACCCTTCTTACAGAAACAATGATCTTATCTCTATTTGATCCAGCTTCATCTTCCATCTTACCCTCTCTCCTCTTGTCCAACTACACAGTTATCTTTGTTCCTCTTTCACTTTGTAAACTTCCTGTGCCTCCATAACTTTAATATAGGCTGTTTCTTGAATCTCCCTCCATCTAACAAAATCCTATCTTCCTGGAAACTTAAGTTTAAATGTTTCTTCTGTTAAGTCTGTTGCACCTCCAGCCTAGAAAAAAAAAAAGAAAAGAAAAAAGAAAAACAACTAAGCAAACAGAAAGGGGTCATCAATGCTTACCAAAGTTAATCAAACAAATGCTTGAGGGGTTTGCTTGCCCAAGGTCATAGAGGTCTTAAAAGGCAGAGCTGAGACTAGCATCCACTTCTCCTGAGTCCAAAATCTAATCACCTTTCCATTTTGCTACAATCGAGTAGTAGGATCAGGAAAAAGTTTTCTCATCACCCTCATACTGTGTCCACTTTACTAATGAACCAGCGTTTGCTGCTAACACCAAAAATCCAAATCACAGCATTCTCTTTTTCGCATGGAAGAGGAGTCAAGAGAGAAGAAAGCAAGCAGACGTTCAAATCACTATGTGAAGGGAAAGTAGGAGATTGGGTCTCCCCACAAAAGAAGTAATATTCAGAGAACTCTTCACCGCAGACAGCAATGGCGACTCACTCATTCACGCACTCAGTAATGCCTCGTACCCACGGGGGAGGCAGTCCCTACAAGAAAACCTCTCCGCCTAGCGGAACTACGGACTTGAACAGCTAAACTCTAACACTGTCTTCATAGCTTAAGGGGAGGAGCCTCAGTAACCAATTTCCAAGTCCAAGCCTCAGCCCTGCACCACTATCTCCAGGACAGCAGCTCCCGATTTGCAGCGGTGCACACCGTCCCTCCCGGCTGGGCGCCCGGACACTCACCAAACAGAGGCACACGGCAGGCAGCGGGTCTCTCCTGTCGCCCCGCCCCTCACTCCTCCCCACCCAGGCTTACGTCATCCCGGAGCGCCGCGGACTCAGGGACAGCGCAGTTAACGGTACTTCCTTGTCACGTGACAGGCCACGCCCCTGCTTCCGCGTGGTCCCGCCCCCCTCAGGCCGCCATCGCAATTACGCTCTCTGCGGCCTGCAGGTAGTGGGCCGCTGCTGGCCGAAGAGAAAGCGCCGGCCGGGACCGGAGGAACTCTAGGGCCAAAGGGGTGAGCCAGCCAGGATCCCGGCGCCCTTCACCGCTGGAAGCCGGCGAGAGGAAAATGAAACAGGCGGGTTTCGGCGGGGGAGGGAGGGGGCCAGCGGAAGGTGTCATGGCGGCCGTGCTCTGGGGTCACGTGCTCCGCAGGCCCGCCCCGGCACTTCCGGTCACGTGCTCTCAGAGTTCTCGCAGCCAGCGATGGAGGCGAGACCCCCCAGTAACAGAGGCGGTGGCGGAGGCTGCGGCGGCTACTGGGTTTCGGACTCTTCCCGGCAGCGTCGCTAAGAAACGCAGCGGAACTCGGCCGGACCCATCCCACTTCCTTGCTCCCTGCCCGGGGCCGTAGCTCCCACCTGGTAAGTTTAGACCAAAG